GGTTTTTTCGTCCAAAGAAAATGAAAACTTCCTTAGGCAACATTGTTTGCCATTCCAATATGCACCCTTGTGCACAATATGAGATCATTTGAACAAACTATGCCATGAATGTGGCCATAAAATTGATCATTTGGCTTGAAAGCCATTGATCTCCACACGTGATAACTCGTTTCTGAGAACACTTTTTAAAAATAATTGCCGTATTACAAGTTTGTTATTTTTCCTGGGAACTTGGCCACATATAATAACACAAGGCGAAGGTTTCCCAATTTTTTGATTTTTTTGACTTTTTTATGTCCGTTTCAAAATGCGGTTAAAACGGCAGGAATGACCGTTCCTAGCTAGTGGTTGAATCTTGGAATTTTTTTGGTGTTTCTCTGATTAAATAGATACTTATGTACCTATAAATAATTTTTGGAAAAAATAAATAGCAAACTATGAGGCACCTGCAGTTCAAATTTGACCCACTTCCAACTAAATCGACGGAAATTTGTCTTTTTCACGAGAGTTGGATCATAACTTTTTACACCCAACCATTTTGTCCGATCATAAAATTTTAATGGTTCCATTTTGCAAAATATTGTTAGTAGTTGTTTCATAAACCCCTTTGTTTTTAGCACTTAGAGACTATATTTTAAATATTGTTGGTAGTCTCCAACCAATAAGGACGTCTCCCCTGGATCACCCTACCGTAGACGATCTAAACCGTCCGATCGTCCCGGATCCAACGACAGACTTGACCCCCTCACCGTCTCACCCAACTAACCCTAACACAACCCGCACCACTCGTCCTCTCGCTCCTCTCTCTCCCCTACGCACCCACAGCCGCCGCCCTCTCCCTCCCTCGGATCTCGATCTCGATCTACGGCCCGAACCAACCCACCTCACCGCCGTCCCCGGCCGCCGCGCCCTTCCACGACGACCCCTTCCTTAGCTTCGCCGACGGCCGGGCCCCGTGGAGCTGCCCACAAACTAAGACTATATCATTAGAGAAAAGCAAATGGATACTAGTACAAATGGTTCTCAGATTTACAAGTAAAACCACTAAGAATTGTGGTGTAAAACCCACTAACAAAACCAGTAAATAGTTACAGTGTAAATCCAATGATAGTTACACAGTAAAAATGCAAAAAAACAAAATAATTATAGTGTAAATCCAAAAATGAGAATTACACTGTAAATCCACTAAGACAGTGTAAACAATTTGAGATTTACGCTATCAAAACAAGATAATTACACTAGATCAAACAAGACAATTACAGTGTAAAATCATTTGAGATTTACACTAAAAAAATTCAGTGTAAATACTATGAGAATTACACTGTAATTACAGTGCGAAAAATTACAGTGTAAATACTATGAGAATTACACTATAATCAAACAAGATAATTACAGTGCGAAAAATCCACTACAAATACCGTGAGAGAAACACTAAAAGATATTACAGTGAAAATACTTTGAGAATTACACTGTAAATCCACTACGAGAATTACAGTGTAAATCACTGTAAAACTCAACAAGATATTACAGTGCAAATACTTTGAGATTTACAATGTAGCAAAACAAGATAATTACGCTGCATCAAATAAGACAATTACGATGTAAAATCATTTGAGAGTTACACTAAAAAATTACGGTGTAAATACTTCGAGAATTTCACTGTATCAAAACAAGATAACTACAGTGCAAAAAATACTAAAAGATATTAAAATGAAAATACTTTGAGAATTACACTGTAAATCTACTAAGAGAGTTACAGTGTAAATCCTTTGAGAATTACACTGTAAAATACAGTAAGATATTACAGTGTAAATACTTTGAGATTTACACTGTATCAAAAGAAGATAATTACACTACATCAAACAAGATGATTACAGTGTAAAATCATTTGAGAGTTACACTAACAAATTACAGTGTAAATACTTTGAGAATTACACTGTATGAAAACAAGATAATTACAGTGCGAAAAATCCACTACAAATACTGTGAGAGAAACACCAAAAGATATTACAATGAAAATACTTTGAGAATTACACTGTAAAATCCAGTAAGATACAGTGCAAATCATTTGAGAATTACACTGTAAAACACAGATAATTACAGTGTAAAATACTTTGAGAATTACACTGTATCAAAACAAGATAATGACAGTGTAAAAAATCCACTAAAAATACTTTGAGAGTTACACTAAAAGATATTACAAAAAACCAGAGACAAAGGCTGCTTCTTACATGAGAGAGGATCACATTTACGCTGCAGCCACATAGATAAAAAAACTGCTTATTAAGTATTACTAGTGTTTCAAAAAACCATTGCAAACACACATCAATCCACACAAAAATGCAAAAAAGCGGCCAGGTAGATGCAAACCACACTTCACACGCCCATTGGCAAAGGTCTGAGCATGTAGACACAGGCTCATATCAGTCACCAACTTATTTCAGAGCCACAAAAGGCGAGCGAGACCCACCAATAAAACCACTAATAAGATAAGGAAAATACATTGCCATGGCACTAAGATTTACACAGTAAAACTACAAAAGAATTACGGTGTGACTACACTGGGATTTACACTATAAAAATACACTAGGAATCAACCGAAGATGCATTCCAAAATGCACTAAGAATTACATTGTAAATCCACTAACGAATTACACTGTAAAAATCATCTAAATACAGTCAAAAAACACTAGGGATGACACTGTAAACCAACTTACACATAACTGAATTTACAAAAACAGATACAAAAGCACTCGAAAAATCACTGAAAATTACACATTGCTGACGCTTAACTGGTAAAAATTCAGTCCCAATCGCTCTAAAATTGCTCAAAATTAACAGTACAACACACTGACTGAAACAACTTGCGTCATACACACATACAGTCCAAAACATCTAGGAGCTCATTCAAATCAGTTACATCCACGTATCTATGGGCTGTGCACATATAGGGGCACTGAACAACTGCAGCCGCATTAGGGGAGCAGAAAATCAAATGTAGACATGGGCGGAAACTGACCCCTACAACTACATGGACCAGGTGTTGCTGCATCTACATCTACTGAGATGTTGCTCCCTCTCCATCAACAACCGAAAAATCTAGGAACCACCACAAAACAACCTAAGAAGCGCTGGATCCACCACTGCACATGGGAACAAAAACGCCACTACGCCAGATCTAGCAAAATCCTACAGTAATTGCATCGAAATGAAGACAGGGAGGAGGATATTGGCAAAACAAACCTCGTTGCGGGAAGAAGGGAGACACAGGGCTCGAAGAACACCATAGCAACAGGAGGAGTGGCGTGAAATTATCGGTAGCAGATGAGATACCGCCGCGGAATCACCATGTGTCGACTTTTCCTCTTCCTCGACGCGCTTGCAGGAGAAGCAACAGGGGGTAGGGGAAGGATGCCAACCACAGGCTCGCTCTCCGGAGATCAGCGGCAGAACTAACCACCCAAATCGCCATGGCCCTCTCCTCTCTGCCTCCAAGATCTCGCCGCTCAAAATGGGGAAGGGAAACAGACAAAGTCACCGCAAGAGATAATAGGAAATTCAAAGAAAAAGAAAAATCCGCTAGTACACGGACCCGTTCGGGATTAACGGGTCTCCGGGGGCGTGGTTGCGGGCCCGGTAACAAAAAAACACCCGCGAGGCTAGAATCAAACGCGAATCTTGACGCACAAAACGGACGGACAAAAAAACAGATGAACATGAATTCTTTCCATCCGGATGAAAAATGGCAATTCCAAAGATTAAATGTATGCTTCTCAGACAAGAATGTAAATTTTGATATTGAGTTTGTAAGGCCTTGCCCTCTCCGAGGAGAAGGAGCCCTTTCAGAAATTCTCAATGACCCGTGAGGGCCAAAGAGGGGGTTTGGAAATAGTTTTCAACCAGCAATTGACGCGCCTCGGTATTACCTCACTAGCTGCGTCATTGCCCCAAGCGCAAAGATGCCTTCTCCCATCTTCCCAAGGCCCCTTCTTATACCCACCTCCGGCCCTGCCACCTCCCTTCCTGAGCGAGGTGGGACTAATCAGACAGGCAGCATCAACCAGCATACCTCACGGACGACCACCCTCGCCTGGGCCGCTTCTCTACTCGAGCCTCTTTCTATTGCACTGCACGGGAAGAGCATCGGCCCATGATGG